GTAAGTATATAGCTAAAATTAATATTCAAAATTTTATTAAAAAATTTAAATATTAAAAAAATTAGTAAAAATCTTCGAAGACAAATTTGCCTGTGTTACAATTTAAGGGATAGTAGATTAGAATAGGGTTAGTTAGAGTAAGACCAGGGTTCAGGTTTTAACATATCATATTTTCATATAATAATGCTCATGAGGGTTATTTTGAATAATAGCCTGAAATAAGCTTAATTTTGGTCAAATTGAAATCACACCTTGCATTATTATGCGAAAATACAGTATGAAAAATAAAACCGTTTCAAACTCTAATTTATTTTGAGTACTCAGAACTACTAAATATAAAACTATTCTGTAACAGATGTCTTTGAAGTCGCCCCTGAAGTTGCCCCAAAGTCACCTCTGAAGTCGTCTTTGAAGTTGCCTCTGAAGTTATCCTTGGAATCATCACCACCTCTGAAGCTATTACCATTTCTGGAATCACCTCTGCAACCACTACCCTTAACACCACAGCCGCCCCTAGAAACACAAATGCCTCTGAAACTACCACTCTTAATACTACAACTAGCAAAGCTGCCATGAAACAACGTATTTCACAAATAGTTGAAATCTGTCAATCTATAAATTCTGCACTTGAGGACTACTGTACAAAACTATGCTGTCGAAGTGTGTATAGAAAAAAGACTACAAATAATACAATTAAAGCTGGAACTGAAATTGCTATTGTACCAGACCACAACATAAATCAACAAACCTGCAAAAGAAAGTTACAGCCAACTTTTTCTGAGCGAGATGTTTTTAAGTCGCTCAAGTCTAATAATCATACTGCTGTAGTTGAAGTAAATGGAGAAGATATTTGGGTTCCTATTAAATAGATGTGGGCTATAAAAAAAAGATCATAATCAAGTTTTGGATTTTTTTTTTTTTTTTTAGAATTAGATTTTTTTTTTTTTTAAATTAAATTTTTTTTTGATTCTTTTTTTTTTAAAAAAAAACCTTCAAGTTTTTGGTAATTGTAAGTTTGGGCATAATGTAAGGTGTTAATTTAAGGTTATATTTAAGGTTAGAATTTAGTTTAAGACAGAATTAGAAATTCAAAATCATAGAAAGGTTCCTACGCTAAATTTTTGTTATGACAAGTAATTTTTTTAATAAAAAAAAACTTGTTATTTTCATTTGACATTACTTAACAAATTGGGTGTGTTACTTTTATGGTAGGGTAGGTAGGATATATACTGTATTTTCATGAAATAATGCGCAGAGGTGTTATTTTAATTTTGGTCTAAATTAAGCTTAATTCATGCCAAATTTCGAAATTACACTCTGTACATTATTTCGCAAAAATACATAGCCAGATCAGCCAAAATCTAGAGATCAGAGCTGGGCAATAACACTAGCCAATTACTGTATATTATAGCCAAATTGGCATTTGGCAACTGCACGACTAATATATTTTTTTACAGTATATTACCTAGGTTATATGAGATTCAAAAAATTCAGGAAAGTCATTGTTTACAATCTTTGCACATAGTCATATGCATTCACCCTATTGCTTGTATCATCATGTACGCATATATCACTATAACACTTGAGTTGATATATCTTTACTGTAAGAAGTAACAATAAGATTTAATAAACATTTAAAAATTATTTTTTAAAATATATTAGTTTTAAAAAAATACAAAAACCCTGGCTATCCTGTGATCCTGTGATTGGATTTTAGTGAGTTTGGGCTTGTTGGAATCGCCTTTTTAAGGCGGTCATTTTAATAGTAAAATTATCAAAATCAAGCTGGTATGTCAAAAGTTATTCATTATTTTATGTTAATCTTAAAATTGCTTTGCGTAGCTTATTTTGGTTAAATTATAATATATAAATAATATTAAGAAGTATTGGTCAAAATCATTCGATTCCAATCAATAAAACTCAATAGAACATGAAAAATAGTATGTACACCATAATTAATATCTGCATTAACTTTATCTTTTTTAATTTATATTTTTAATCAATAATAACTTATGATCTAATGATTAGAATTGGCTGATTTTGGCACTATTTGATTCGCCTTGATAAGATGAATCAAATGGTACCAAAATTATTCAATTCGGACTGATATATCATGCATTATTGGCTAAAATATTTACTGCGCCATAATACCTATATCTACTATATATCTCTTTATTGCTCTAAAGTAAGTTACGATTGTTTTAAAGATTTTATAGTAAAAATTAAATAAATTTATTAAATATTTGTTTTTACTTTGATTTATAACAAATTTATAGTATTTATTATAATTTAAGTAGAATAAAAATTATTTTACAAAATTCAGGGCAAATTTGCCCCAAATTTACATACAGATTAAGGGATAATAATATAGTAAATATATAATATTTATATTTTAAACATATTTAGCAAAAAGCATAGGTTTCTGTAAAGTTTCTGTAAAGTATAATTTTCATATCTTGTTTCCATATAAACCACTACAATCATAGGCAGACTTTCATATAATTGGCAGTTTAAATCAATTTAATTCTATATTATTTATACAGTTTAAAGTACTTTTTTAAAAAAAGAAAACTATGAAGAATAAACAAAAAAGAAGTATATAGAAAGTTGTAGGACTCTACTATTAAAAATAATCAAAATTCTTTTTTGTTTTAGAGAAGTTAGCATAATAGCGACTTCTTAATAATAGATAGAATTAGGTTATCACATACTAACTTCTCTAAACAAAAAAGAATTTTGATTATTTTTAATAGTAGAGTCCGACAACTCAATAAAACATTATACTTCTTTTTTGTTTATTCTTCGTAGTTTTCTTTTTTTTTAATAAAAAGTACTTTAAACTGTATAAATAATGTAAAATTAAATTGATTTAAACTGCCAATTATACAATTGAACATAAACATGATGATGGCTTATATATTGTATATATTACAGATTTTGGTTTGTTTTGAGAATCTTCAGTAATAATACGTATAACATTTGAATCGACTTTCTTCTCTAACTATCAATTGTTCCGCTTTATTTGCAATACAATGAGACTTTCTCTTCGGCCATATTCGCTTCTTTCCGCTCTTGAGATTTTAACTTGTTCCACTTTATTTGTTTATTTCCAAGTGCTTTTAACAAATATTAACTTGTTTTTTTCATTTATCTGTCATGGTCCATACATGAAATTCAAAAGTGTGTACTTCGCCTGCTCCAGTGTCTTTGCCACCTGCTCCAGTGTCTTTGTCGCCTACTCCTGTGTCTTTGTCGCCTACTCCTGTGTCTTTGTTGTCTGCTCCTGTGTCTTTGTTGCCTGCTCCTGTGTTTTTGTCGCCTGCTTCTGTGCCTTTGTCGTCTGCTTCGCTTGGTTCAATGTCGACATCGCCACTTGTTTCAATATCCAATTAAGCGTCATCAGTATCAGAATCAGAATCTTATAAGCCACTGGCTAAAAAATCAAGAATGCAGGACTTTTTCAAAATCGAAATAACCCTCGAAGAATGCTGCCTTGAAATTCTAAATTCGTTTAAGAAGGTAATTATAAAACAGCAATTTTTTTTATTTAATGATGATTTATAATCGTTTCTTTAATTATAGTCTTATATTGAGGCTGAAGAAATTGATTCTATAATCAAAATAATGAGCTCGATCACCCGTATGCTTCACTGCACTAGTGATAAGGTTATTATTGTTATTTTTTTTTACTTTTTAATTTTACTTTTTAATTTTATAACTAATATATATAACATTTTAAAATAAAAATGTAGAATAAGGAAATTAAATGTTTGGAAGAGATGAATGTTTCACTAAGTAATAGAATAATGGAGTTGGAACAACAGGATGATTATGTTATGACTTAGCTGAAGGATTTGATTACCTGGCGGCAAATTTAAATTTTAAATGTCGAAATTTTATGAAGTGTGTAGATTTTTGTACATAGATAGAAATTTACTTTTCATATAATAAATGCTGTTGTTGTCTGCTCTTTAAGCGTTGACTGATTTAGATAGATTTTTGTACATAGATAGAAATTTTACTGTTCATATAATAAATGCTGTTGTTGTCCACTCTTTGAGCGTTGACAGATTTAAATTATCTTAGATTTATTATGGGAATTGGGAAAATGTACTATACATAAGTCTCACTAGTATCAGTATGTATGCATTCGTGCTTACCTAATACATACTAAACATAAACAATATTGCATATACACGTATCAAACGAATATATTTAAATATTAAGTAATTAGTAAACACTGGTCTATATGAATAGTGCATAATTAATGAATTTAAACCAAGTACTGTATTCAGATTGCAAATTTGGTTGTAAATAAATAGATTGTATAATGTTTAAATTTTTTGTCACTTGATCATAACTATGGAATACACTATAACGTGATCAATGGCTAGTTCTCTAGCATCGTGTTTACTTCTTTTCAATATCTGACTTGTTCAATCGAGCCACCAAATTCTTTGCTCAATATCCGGGCTGCTTGTAATGTTGTTAGCCAAAGCTTGTAGAAATATTTCGACTTTCGACATTTAGCATGTTGAAATTCTAAGTAATGTCGAAATTCTAAAGTAATGTCAAAATACTCAAATTATGCCGAAATTCTAAATTGTGTCGAAATGTCTAAATTAGCTAATTAATAAATAAGATATACTTTTATTACTATCTTTACCTATTGAATTTGGTCTTTAAAAATCCATTCTCTATATAATTAGTTTTAAAAAAAATTTTTTAACCGATTTATTTAACTAAACAATATGTATTAAAACGATTAAATATATATTTGATTATGTATAATAATTGCGATATTAAGCTTTTAAATACAATAAAAATTTAATTTGATAAAGTAAATATTTAGTCAAGTAATTTACTAATTTAAAAAACGAAAAGCCAAGACAACTTTTTTTCCTTTTCTAAGTAAACTTGTTTAGGTAACATGCGTTAAATCTGCACAATAATTTACAAAAAACAAAAATAACTCGAAATTTTAATAAAGAATAAAAATGCTCCTCATAAAATTTTACTAATAGAAATCCTGTTGTCCTAACCTAACCCTAATCACAACGCACAGGGAACAATTTTTGTGATACAGTACCTAAGATAAACACGAAAATTATTAGATTTATTGTGATTAATACTAAATCTCACATCATTTATAATACCAATGCCACATGCATTCGTTTTATGTTAGGAATGTTATCAGCTTGATTCGACCTGGATACAAAAACCGATTACCGTAAATTCTCGAAATAGCGGGCATGGGCGTTATTTTAAAATTTGGCCCGAATTAAACTTAATTCTGGCCAAAATTCGAAATAGAGAATTTACGATAATTATAGGACCGAACGAGCTGATAACATAAATAAATTAAATATATAGCATGTTAAAATGCGAGTGAAATTAAATAGCATTTTTTCATAGTACAGTATGTTAAAGTGTAAAAAATGTTATAAAACCTAAAATAAATATATTCGTCTTTTAAGAAAAAAATTTATTATTTTTTGATATGAGTTCAAAAAGAATAATTACATTAAGCAGTAGAGCGTTTGAACTTAATGTTTTCTATAGAGAGGATAATAATTTAACACTGTATTACAGAAACTTGTAAAAAATTGATAATGGGTTAAAACTAGCAAATTTATAAAAACATGCTTACAATATTTTTTCAGATAATAGATTTACAATTGGTTTATAACTAGTAATTATTATATTTTAATAATATTTTTTTAAAAAAAATATAATTACAACATTATGATTACTAGTAATTATAATGTTATAATAATGTTTTTAAAAAACATTATTATAACTTTATAATTACTAGTTAATAACTAGTTATTAACTAGTTATTAACTAGTAATCATAATATTGTAATTATGTTTTTTTAAAAAAATATTATTATTATTATTATTATTTATTTTTTTTTTTTATTATTATATAATGTCATAGTAGAAACTTTATTACAGTCAGTCCGAAGATTGAAAGTTATCTTAT